CACACAAAATTTCCGCTACTGGTTCTCCAGAACTGGTCAGAACCGGCTGAATCCCACCTCTGATGTGGTGCTCTAGGATGGCACCAGAGGGCGATCCTGCCCCACGGATGAACTTGGGCTGTCTTGCGAATTGCTGGAGGAGACAAAGGATCCCGCCTGGAACCTGCCAATCCCGCAAGCCGCCTCTTGGGCAAGCCAGTGTAGTGGATGGGCGACAGCCTCTCGCTTGGACGTTTTCTCTCTCTCTCTGGGAAGCCGCAACCCAGCACAATCCCTCAAACAACTTGTGGGGATGAGACACCCCCCCCTCGCCCGTAAAGACATCAAGAGCCGGGGAATAGGTTTGAGTGCGTGTCTTTCTCCTCGCCACTCCAGCAACAAGAAGGGACGCGATGGGCTTTGGAAAAGTCTGCAGGGACTTCTGCAGTTACGAGACACCCAAAGTGATCGTGGTGAAGAACCCTAACCTGGGCATCATTTACAGGCTGGTGCAGCTTCTGATCCTGGTTTATTTCATCTGGTAAGCCTTCCCGCCCTCCTGGTGGTGGTGGTGGTATTTAAAGATGCCCTGGGGCAGGTATGATTCAAGGGACAGCTTGACACGGGTACGTTAAGAAGATTTAGCCAAGGAAACACACACACACACACACGGGAATCTGTGACTTAACGTGGGTATTTATTTAATATTGCATATTATTATATTAGATCCAGACCACTGGGAGGAAAGAAGAAATATTCGTCCCTAAAAGCAGAATAATTTCCTTTTAGAGGCAGGCTGCAGAGAAATGGGGTACAACAGGAGATTTTTATAGGGGGAGCTTGAAATGTCTATGTGCTGATTCTAGGGCGACACGTCTGTGTGTGTGTGTGTGTGTGTGTGTGTAGGTGTTTATTCTTGTGAGCATGCACTTCCTCTGGGAGACCTAGTTTAATTAACTCTGTTGGCGTTTGCAGACCTTATCCTTTGATATGGGGATTAGGTCTGGGTAACTTATTTTTTGGGTGGGGGGGCGTTGAGGGAGGGATTTTCTGCTTCAGGACTGGCCGAGGAGTCGTCCAGGTGCCACTGACGTCCTGCTTTTTGCGACAGGTACGTGTTTAGCAACCAGAAGGGCTACCAGGCGTGTGAATCTGGCCCAGAGAGCTCCGTCATTACCAAAGTCAAAGGGGTCACCTTCTCGCAGCACAAAGTGTGGGATGTGGAGGAATACGTGAAGCCCCCAGAGGTGAGACACCCCGCCCAGAGCAACTTTTCCAAGCAGTCAAGGGGGGGGCATTTGGGGGGGGGGGAAGGGGCTCGGTCACAGCTTCACCTTGCTGGAAATACAATCCTTGGTGGTATAAACAGATCAAAGTCAGGTGAAGCACTACTACCACTTTATAAAGCCTTAGAAGACCACACCTTCCTTCCTTCCCTCCTCTTCCTTCTTCTCTAATCGTTCCTTTCTTCTCTCCCTCCCTCCCCTTCCTCCCTTTCTCTCTAATCCGACTTCTCTCCCCCCTTCCTCACTAATCCTTCCCTCCTTCTTCCTTCCTTCCCCTCTAATCCTTCCTTCCTTTCTTCCCTCCCAGCCCTTCATTCCTTT